TCGTAAGAGAGGGGAGCAAGGGGACGTAAGAGAGGGGAGCTAGGGGACGTAAGAGAGGGGAGCAAGGGGACGTAAGAGAGGGGAGCAAGGGGACGTAAGAGTTGTGGGGAGCAAGGGGACGTAAGAGTTGTGGGGAGCAAGGGGACGTAAGAGAGGGGAGCTAGGGGACGTAAGAGAGGGGAGCAAGGGGACGTAAGAGTTGTGTGGAGCAAGGGGACGTAAGAGAGGGGAGGACACGTCAGAAAGGCCTTGTGAGCAGTGCAGACATCAGCAGAACGGTGCTAGCAAACATGATTATCTTCCCACTGACCTTCTAGAAGATTCCAAAAACTACAGGATCCATTGTGTAAAATTAATGTTTTGATTTTGTTTTTGTGATCCTGTACATGTGATAATTTGTTTACGTGACTTCTACATTCTTCACATCCGCCTCCGGAACCCAGACGCTTCTCGAGACTTCGCTGATTTCGCTAAAATTGAATCGCCAGAAAAAAGAACACATCAGAATATTATTGTGCTCTGTTTTGTAACATGATAAAAGCTAGAGTCCTTTTGCGCACGATGTGAACGGAAGGTTTGTATTATAAACCTACTTTTGGGGGCTCTGGTGGCCTACAGGTTACGTATTCGTCTCCCATCCAACAGGTCCCAGATTTGAAACCTGACAACGACTGAAAATTTTCCTGAAAAGTTTCTCCTTTCTCCTCCTGTTCTGCTCTCTACCCATGTGGTTCTGGCATCTGCGTTTGTTGCCATTTTTTGTGTCCAAAAGTTGCCAAAAGTTGCCACAAAAATGGCAAAAGTTGCCCCAAAAGTTGCCGTTAATTTTCCAGCTTTCAACTCTCTGTGACGACGTATATAGAAATATGTTGATAGAGATAACTTCATCTGAAACACCAGAATGTCTTGTCCTCTGTTTTTAAGCATTCAGAATATCATAAGTGGCCACACACAGTGTAAAAACGTGAAAAATAAAGGTTTCACAACAGAATGAAATCAAAATTAGAACATCAAATAAACAACCACACAAATTACCAAATAAGGGCATGTGTCAACCCATGCATACACTGGCCGTTTTAACCCTAAAGGCGTGTAATTCAAGAAAAAAGTACAGGATCTAACATGTAGACCATGGAATCACACACAAGGGCCCTGCCACTCGCCAGTGTCAGGTTTAGGTTTTGGTGGAGACACGCTCTAACATAACACTTTTTTAAAAACTAAAAGGTATGGACAACATTACGCTAGAGCTATATAAATACCCAAAAAAAAGGAAAAACAACACATCAGAAC